AAATTTAAAATTTTATATATATTATTTCAATTTTTATCATGTCTTAGTTTCAACAATTTCATTTCATTTCTTTAATACTAAACAAGTTATACACAATAAGAAATACACACGTCAATACAATATAAAGAAAAGGAAAATTTGAGAAATTGTCCTTCTATTCCGAAAACAATTGTAATTTATGGAAAATTAGATATTTTAATTTTTATCATGAAAATATATATTTTATAAATATAATAATTTTTCTAATATACAAATATTATAAATAACTTTTTTGTCCATACTAAAGACATTTTTTTAATTCGTTATCTATACTATTAATAAGATAAATAACCATTTTTAATATATATATTTTTAGACCACTTTTTGTTTATAATTACCTCTCAAACTATTTTTTCTCTCTCTACATTTCTTAAAAAATAATTGTTACAGTTACACTTACTAAAAAAATTTATTATTAATTACTCACTTTTATATATATTTTTTTAAAATACACAAAGATATAGAGGGTCTCTTTTCCATTAATTATCTATAATAATTCTACTTCAAATAAAATTGACTCCAATAAAACTTTGTGATATATAGATTTTTTTTTTAAACCAAATAAAATAGCGTCGTTCGTCAATCAAATAAAGCCCTTGGTCAACTTGTTACATAAAACGGTCTAAATTGGCGGGAAAGGGAACAAAGGATGCGAAATAAAAAGAAAAAAGAAAAAAGAAAAAAGAAAAGACGGGGCTACCATTATGCAACTTGATTTCATATATTTTTAAAGTTGAATGGACTTTCTTTTTTCGTAAAAGAGAAAACCATATTGTATATTCTTATTTAATTCATTTAAAACATGTTAAGTTAAATAAACTGTTATTATGATAATTTATAATATGAAATTATTAATTAATTATAATACTTATTTATTAATGAACAATATGATTAATATATTTAACTTAAATATATTACTTTACTTTACACTACAATCCTACAAATATCTCTACGAAAGATAATTTTGATGGAACGCAAAATATTTATAATAATATAACAGAATTAATCCTTTCAGTGAAAAATTTTTTATACACACCAAACGAATTCAAAATTTCAATTCAGGAAATTCAGGTGTGTATAATTTCAATAAAAAATTACTTAATGCAATCATTATTTAAAAACAAGGCATAAATGTATTATTTTGTAACGGAAGAAATTAATATGTAATAAAATAAAAAATATATATTTTTTCTGAAATAATTAGGAGTTAGAAGGATGAAATCATACTAATTTGTGAATCAAATTTTATGCAAACAGAAGTTACCTGCAGCATAAAGGTTAATTGGAAATATAATTTCATTTCACTAAATTAATCTTTATAAAAAAAATTAAATGAAGTAATCCTTCTAATTTCTAATTTCAATCGTAATTTTTTTCTTCAAGCAACATCAGTACAAAAGTTTTTTTTACAATGTTTAAATATTTTAAATTTAAAATAAATTTATTTTTAATATCTCAAATTTAAAATTAGTCTTTTAATCTTTGTAATTTAAATAAATTTGGTTTTAGTTTTTAAATTCGAATCTTATAAAAAATTCTATTAAATTTTATCATATAAAATCTATTTATTAGTGTCATTAATGAAAATATTATATTAAATTTAATTAACAACTCATAATTATTTTAATTTTTTATTTTTAAATATTTTATTAGTGAATTGAGGAGTTAAAATAAAAATTTTAAAAATCTAAGAGACAAAAATAATAATTTTAAATTTAAAATAAAAAAATAAATTTAGAAATAAAATCATATTTAAACCTTTTAAAAATATAATGCATAGACAATAAATCCTATCCACGCAGAGATTTAAAAAAAAAGTGTGAGTAAAATAAGAACAGAGATAAAAAAAAAAATAGACATTAATAAAATATTTGATAAATCAATAAATATAATACTTCAACCAAGTTCAAAACAGGATTAACTGTATGATTAGCAATGTGATATTGTTTATTATTTTATAATTAAATTAACACACGTCAGCATCTGGCGTCATTACAGTGCCGGAACACTGATATATGATATGAAGAATGAAAAAAAGACAAAATTTAAAATAACAATTAATTTGAAAAAAAAGAGACAATAATTGTAAGAAGGATGGTGACGTTTTGGGGCCCATAGTCCATAGAAAATGGATCCAAACGACAGCTAGGTAAGCCGGCCGAATGTCACATTATTGCCTATTGGACCTGAAAACGCGGGAGATTTGAAAACCGGATGCCGTTTTGTCCTTGCCGGTCGCCTCGTTCAAACAGGGGCGCTCCTTCACCGGCTTTAACCGGTACCAGTGACACAATCAGTCTTTAAGTAAGCATGACAATCTAATTCGTCCCTGTGGGTACCTGCCGAACCCGCCCCAATTTGAATGGGAAAACTCGTGTTTATCGGGTTCGAGTTCGAATTTTTTCCGATTGATAAAATTGAGGGCAGGGACGGGGACGAAAATATTAAT